TTCATGTAAGCCTGTAAGAAAAAAAGTAATCAATTATAAATATCAACATTAACTGACTATACTATTGGAAATATAAAAGTTGGTATTATCTTTCACCAGTTAAAACTAAATGAAATTTAAATAGTTCAGCCCTACGATTTTCTTCAAGGATCCAATGGAAAATACAGCTTTTTACTCAACCAAGAGAACCTGCAATTTAAATTTCTCCAGGTTATGATAGGAAATTTTTACATTATATTTCCAGTGCTGTTCTGCTCTGAATCTATATAAATAAAAATGTAAATGTTCGTTTGTTCAAAATATTAAATCTCCAAAAGTTCACCGATTGCTTTGAAATTTTGACATAACGTTGCATTTGAATACACACGTGTTTTTATATACCTATATCAGGGGTAGGCAACCTCGGCTCTTTTATGACTCATGGACTTCAACTCCCAGAATTCCTGAGCCAGCTATGCTGACTCAGGAATTCTGGGAGTTGAAGTCCATGAGTCATAAAAGAGCCGAGGTTGCCTACCCCTGACCTATATTATATAGATGTCGCACCTGTGACAGATAAAAACATGTTGTTGAAAAACAGCGCCATCTGTTGGATATAAAAGCAACACACGCTACGATTTTACCATTCCATTTCAATGTTTCTGATTTATGATCCATTTATGATTTCCAAATTTCCGATTCCATTTCAATGTTTCCGATTGCATTGTTAAATTGAATTTTCATAGATTTCGATTTATTTTCATTTTGATTTAATTATTTCGTGTGACATTGTGTTGGAATTGATGCACAGACAATGGAACAACAAAAAATATTGTATACCCACAAGCATTGTGAAATTAAACATATTAGAAATGTGCGCTTTCTCTTTTCTTTCTTTTCCATTTAACCAGACTGAGCCACAGCAACGCCTGGCTGGGTACAGCTAGTTTCCTATATATATTTTAGTGCATAGTTTTATTATATTAGATACATTAGTGTCAGATAAACATGTTATATTATTGTAATAAGGGTGTTCAGAGTATACCATATTTGATTTATTTTCTAGTTGCCAATATATATATTTTTCCTGTCAATCATGATTGTAATTGTTGTCTTTTAATTCCCTTATTATTTTATGTTGCTGGTCATTGACTGAATAAATAAATAAAAGTAATAATTTTCCTACATTTCTAAAATTAGGTGTCCGGTGTCATCAAGATAGAGAAAACCTAGGCTTGTAATCAGTGGGTAGAGCTAAAGGAGCTTTAATTAATTTTATTTGCATACTTTACAAGTAAACAATTTTTTTTTAAAAAACGGATCCCTTATTTGTGTAGAAAAAAAACTGGACCAAAAATAAAGTCTGGATAAAATTTTAATGAAAAAAAATATCTAAAAATAAAGAGCGTTTACAGAATGCCCAGATCCCACCCTGAGAACCGCAGTCTGTCCCGAGTGTAAGAAGGAACCATATTTGCCTATCCTTGAGGAAAAATGATAAAATTTTAATGAAAAAAAATCTAAAAATAAAGAGCTTTTACAGAATGCCCAGATCCCACCCTGAGTACTGCAGCCTGTCCAGAGTTTAAGAAGGAACCATATTGGTCTATCCTTGAGGAAAAATGATAAACTTTTAATGAAAAAAAAAATCTAAAAATAAAGAGCTTTTACAGAATGCCCAAATCCCACCCTGAGTACTGCAGCCTGTCCCGAGTGTAAGAAGGAACCATATTGGTCTATCCTTGAGGAAAAACAATGTAAGGGGAATATCGAAACACTTCATGAACAAGCTCCCTCGTTCTAGAGCAGGGATCCTCAACCTTGGCAACTTTTAAGACTTGTGGACTTCAACTCCCAGAATTCCTCAGCCAGCTTTGCTGTCTGAGGAATTCTGGGAGTTGAAGTCCACAAGTCTTAAAAGTTGCCAAGGTTGGATACCCCTATTCTAGAGGGCAAGTTAAAAAGCTAGATTCTGATTTAATGTTAGAAAAAGTTCCTAAGAACTGGTGGTCCCCGTCATTAGACCCCGAGGCTCCTTCCACTCCTTTCAAACTCAGCGCGGGCCGCCACCTGTTGCGGACCCCATCCCCGCGTAGCTCGGCCGCGGCACCCGGCCGAGCCCGCCTTCCTGCTTGAGCACCCGGCCGCCCAGGTGTGTGTAGGTGTGTGTGTGTGTGTGTAGGTGTGTGGATACGGCGGGCCTCCTGCTCGAGGCGCGCACCTTCTCCATCCTCTGCCGCTCCTTCTCTCTGCCCTCCGCCTCCAAGCGCTCCTCCTCCTGCTGCATGGCCGGGGTGATCACCGGCGTTGCATCCTCGGCTCCGGCTTCGCCCAGCTCGGCCATCGGAGACTCTGCAAGGAAAACAATGGTTGGGGGGGGGGAGTGGGAACCGGCGGGGCTTGGCTCCCTTCGCCCGCCCGAGCGCTCCTCTGTCCCGGCGCAAGGCGCCCGCAGCGAGAGGGGCGAAGCAGCTCCGCGTTACCTGCACTTGGATCGCTGCTGCTGCTGCTCTCGGACGGCATGACTACCCTCCGCCACTCGCACTCGGATCCGGCGGCACACGAGGAGCGACCGCCCAGTTCCGCCCAAAGGAAACTCGCGCGCTTTTCGCTCTTGCGAGAAGTCGGCCTTGCCTCGCGCGAAAGCCGCCGCCGCCTCCGCCCCTTCCCTCCCCTGCAGGGGTCCCGAAAGAGGATCCGGACTGCGGGAGGGCGAGTTGGAAAAGTCCCTCGCCGTTGGGTTTGCGGCCCCGCAGCCGGATTCCACCAGCCCGCCTGGTGCTGGAGAGGGCGGAAGACCAAGAAGGGCTTCGTCAGGCTGGAGCCGGAAAGGGGGGGGGCTCCGCAGAGGAGCTCAGCAGGCAATCCGGTTGTTGCTGAAAGGAATTCTCCAGAACTTATCAGAGGGGTCTTCAAATTTGGCCCTTGTATGACTTGTGGACTTCAACTCCCAGAATTCCTCAGCCAGCTTTGCTGGCTGAGGAATTCTGGGAGTTGAAGTCCACAAGTCTTAAAATTGGCCAAGGTTGAGGACTCCTGCTCTAGAACGAGGGAGCAAGTCTTGTTGATGAAGGGAATTCTGAGGAATTCTGGGAGTTGAAGTCCACGAGTCTTAAAATTGGCCAAGGTTGAGGACCCCTGCTCTAGAACGAGGGAGCAAGTCTTGTTGATGAAGGGAATTCTGAGGAATTCTGGGAGTTGAAGTCCACGAGTCTTAAAATTGGCCAAGGTTGAGGACCCCTGCTCTAGAACGAGGGAGCAAGTCGTGTTTATGAAGTGAATTCTGAGGAATTCTGGGAGTTGAAGTCCACGAGTCATAAAAGGGCCAGGTTTGAAGACCCCTGCCTTAAGTACTCCACTCCTGGTCTTCGGAGAACAGCGGCCATCTGCCCGGAGACATGGTTCATGCACTCCTGGGGTCATCTGCAAATCAACGAGGCGTTCTCCAGGCCCTTCCTTCTTCATGCTCTTCTTCAGATTAGCCTCTGAACCCAGCGCCCTCCCCAGCCCCATTTAAACCAGGGGGAAAACTTGCCTTCTTTCCGCCTTAACTATTTACTACCAATTTTGTAAGTGGGGGTGGCATGTATTGTGATCGCCACCTGGAATTATGATATTCATATCTACGTTAAGAATTTTAATGAGGCCGGGAAACTTTGGCAGCATCCTGGAAATCTTCTATATAAATAAAAATGTAAATGTTCGTTTGTTCAAAATCTTAAATCTCCGAAAGTTCTTCACCGATTGCTTTGAAATTTTGACACAACGTTCCATTCGAATATGCACGTGTTTTTATATACCTACTATTATATAGATGTCACACCTGTGGCAGGTAAAAACATGCTTGGACAATTCTAGAGTCGGCAAACCAGACAATATATCTGCACAGACAATGGAACAACAAAAAATATTGTATACCCACAAGCATTGTGAAATTAGGACAAGTATGTTGCGTGTTCTAGAGTCGGCAAACCAGACAATCTCTATATCTGCACAGACAATGGAACAACAAAAAATATTGTATACCCACAAGCATTGTGAAATTAAACATATTACAAACGTGCGCTTTCTCTTTTCTTTCTTTTCCATTTAACCAGACTGAGCCACAGCAACGCGTGGCCGGGTACAGCTAGTAACAAATAAACCTGCTGTTTCTGGTTTATGCAGGTATGGTAATAAGCCTGGTTGCCATTTTTCTGTTCTTTTCCCTCCTGAAATGGCTTCTTCCTCTTAGAGCAGGCCCTGGTGCTGAATATATTTGGCATGTGGCTGTTTACAAATTACTTACTGCCTTCCCATGCATTATAACTGTTGTGAAGATTCTTGATTTCTTTGAAACTAGAGTGGACAACATGGCTGATTACTTCACAGGAAAAACATTATTACAGAAAATATTGAAATTGTGATGTCAACATTATGGTTAGGATGCCAATATTAGCTATTAAACCATACAAGCATTTATCATTTCTTGCATGTTCATAGGAAGGTCCCCAGCCTCAACCAGCAACATTCACTTTGAAAGTTTTAGCTGCCAAAGTAGCTAAAATTGTAATAGTGGGAACAATGATATGACTCTCACCAACATTTTCATTTTCAACCACTTTCATTTTGTATCTTTATATTTCTGAGTTAGGTTTCAATAGCAGCTGACATTCTAGCAATTCATCGGTCTTACTGAAATCAATATATAATTATGGAATTTTCACTTGTCTTCAACCCATGCAGGTAAATGCTGATAGCATATCAGAGTTCTTGTATACATTCACCTAAATTTGGGCTAATAGTTAAGCCTCATGTGATTCAAACTCTGAATGAAGTCAGACATCTTTCCTGGATTTATTAATCAAAACTAAAAGTATAAAACAGACATGTCAAACTTGTGACATCATGTGTAGTCACGCAACGAATCGGGCTGGTTTTGCCATTGCCGGCAATGGGGTGGGCGCAGCTTCCAAGTGACGCGTCTGGCCCATGGGAGGGCAGTTTGACACCCCTGGTATAAAACAAGGCCCGGGAATATATTTTTAGCAAAGCAATGGTATTTTAATGGCAATCAGGAGGCAACAAATCTTGATTAACAAGTGAAAGGATTTATAGAGTGCAGAAGTGACCAATTTCTTGCTTCATACCTAAGCCGAGAGAAAAGTGTTACTTACATAAAGAACTGAAGTAGTTAAGAGAGACTTCTATGTTCAGTAAAATAAATATCAAAATAGTAAAAAGGGAATAGATTCTACAAGAACAAAAGTAATTTATTCTTAGACTTGTGTAGCCTCTGCTACTTTTGAAAGTTCTTAGGTTATTCTAGTCCAAATGCATTGCTGAGGCATAAATTCTGTTTCAGAAGTTCAATAGCAGAAATCTTGGGTTTGGCTTCCTGGAAAAAACTCATGTAATCTAGAAGATGTTTAAGAGCCTTCTTTCATCGCTTTTCCAATTTTTTGTACTTTGCTTCTGTAAAAGACAAACACATAATCTTAGTATAAACATTTCATTTGCATTTCAGCACAATCTAGTAGCACAATCAGTGCTGTTTAAGAAGTAAGGACAACAAAACCTTGATACCAAGTGCATTCAATGTAATTTCTTCATTTAATCAACAGAATAGAATGGAATGGAATAGAATACTTTATTTGGCCAAGTATGATTTACACACAGAAGGATTTGTCTTTGGTGCAGAAGCTCTCAGTATACATGCAAAGCAACTTATGTCAGATTACAAGTTGACTTCATTTCTTAAAAGACTTAGAAGCACAAGTAGTCCTTGACTTACGACAGGTTGCTTAGTGACTATTCAAAGTTATGACAGACCTTCCCAGGGCCACTTTTGACCCAGATTCTAAGTTCTAATGTCTCCCACCACTACCACATGATTACATTTTGGGTGCTTGGCAGCTGGCCTGCATTTATGGCTATTTGCAATATTCTGCAGTCACATGGCTTGTGATTTAGGGCTTTTTTTGCCAGAAACATCGGTTTCCGGCAAAAACCACCCATTACAGACAATGGATTCGCTTAGTAACCATGGAATTGGCTTAATGATCACCACAAAAAGGTTGTAAAATCAGGCATGATCACGTGATCTGCATCACTTAGGTTTCTAATTCTGGGCTCAGTTACTGTCATAAGTCAAGGACTACCAATACTGCTTTTGAAGGAATATATCCAAAATTTCCCTGGTTATCTAAAATTTTCCTATTTTTGCTGCAAAATTAAATTTTTTGAGAGAGAGTGAGAGGGTCAGCTGCCATGTGCTTAATGTGCTATTTGTTGCCTGTTTAAAACTCCTGAAATTTAACTTCTGAGTTTTGAAATATGCTGAAAACTTCCTTTCTCCTATTGACAGTTACTTTTTAGGGTTATGTTAAAAACACAAATGTCCATGGAAGGTGGGGTGTAAAAAAAAGTCTAAAACAGCAGCTGCAACTACCTGGATGCCCTTGGTTAAGAGTGGAACCACAGCGATGTCCTGTCATTTTATAACTAGTAATTGAGAAGGGAAGAGAAACTGGGAGAGATGACAATACAAACATACAAATATTTAAGGTCTGAACTGATTAATCAGGAACTTGAAATACTAGAAAATCTATGTATGAAAATAGTATATAGGAGAAAAGCAAAGAAATTGTGTCTTGATTGAATCAGATCATGCTAAAAATCTTATCTATATAATAGGATGTCAGCAATTGTCCAGATTTTGCTTTAGTTGGCCTTTGCCTAAACTCTTCATTTATACCCTTTTTAAAGTAAAAAAAGCATTTGGTATGAGATCAAACAGTACCACAATTTAATGTATTATCCTAATAATAGTTATGAAAATGCAACTTGAGCTTTTAGTCTGTTGTGCCAGGTACTTGACACAAAACTATGTTTCTCAGCTATTGCTATATATTGATTTTTGCTTTGAATTTATTTCAGGGGAGACTAATAAGAATAAAAAGCATCCTTTTTCTTCTTGTTGTTGTTTACTCCCTAAGTCATACCCAACTCTGATATCCTTTGCTACCCTATCTCCACTTCAGATCAGTAATGGATACAGGTTAATCAGATGGCATGGTCATCATTCAAATCAAAAAAAGATTAGGTCTGCAGCTTTGTATCAAATCCCATTGTAAGTCTCAGCAATTTGTATGAATTGAACCAAAAAATATCATAGATCAGTGGTGGTGAACCTATGGCACGGGTGCCAGAGGCGGCACTCGGAGCCCTCTCTGTGGGCACCCGTGCCGTTGCCCCAGTCTTGCCTCCCCCCACGACCCCCTCCTCACCAGCAGCCCCCCTGGAAGAGAGTCGCTCCCGAGTGTGGCCCACACGGAGCAGTGCAGCCAAGGACATGGCAGCCAGGCAGCGTAGATAAGACTCTGCCCTCACGTCCCATCACGCACAGTTGATGCTGCGGGGCGTGGTCAGAGGGTGTGGCTGCCATGGCGCTACTGGGCTGCCTGGGTGATCTGCGGCGGGCCCTGGAGGCAGTGAGTGGCCCTGCGGGCAGGCGGGGTGGGGGCGGAGCAGGAGCGGGGCAGGGGATGGAGCGGGGGCGGGGCCAATTTTTGGGCATTCAGTCTCTAAAAGGTTCGCCATCACTGTCATAGATCAATAAACCATAGTTTAGTGAAGTACGCAGTGCTTTTGGCCATAAATGAATAGGTGAGAACTAATTTCCAAACAGAACAGTCTTGATCTCTGCAGTAATCCCTAAAGAAGAAAAAATAGACTACAATCCAGTTATTCTCCACAGATAAATTTATGGAATGCTGAATCGGATGCCTAATATTTTTTTCTTAGCTTGGGCATCGCCAATTCTCATTCTCTGCACTATGAGAAGTGAGGATGTAGGCATCATAAGATAAAACTTATGTATTCGATAGATATACTAGAAATATCACAGATATTTCCTTACCAGATTCCTCAATGCTTCAATAACAGTAGAGCTTCTCATGCACTTGAAAAGGTCTTACAAATTCAGAGATATATCTGCCTTGAAAATAGCCCATGTTGAACTGTGTAACACAGTTAAACATTATCACAGAAAACTATGTATGACACTTTGTATTGCCATAAATGCCTTATGATAATTTTATGTCATAAAACGCATCTTGGGCTCTTGATTTTGAGTACATTCTTTAAGTTATCTCATTGGAAGTTCAAAATGTTTTGCCCTATAAATACACTGTTTTGGTTACAGGAATGAGCATTTTAGTCGTATATTTATAAAGATTACATTCCCAGGCCTTGCTTGGGGAAATGGATAAAATCAAAACTTTAACACCACTGTTCTAGTAATAACTAGAGTTTCTTGGAATAGCTACCGAGTTTCTTGGAATATGCATCCAGCTTGTAGGCAGCCTGTTCCAAAGCTGCAACTTGCTCTTCAATCTGATTGATTTGTTCCAGGTATGGCTGAAGTGCAGCATCTTGGGGGGAAATGGAAAAGGGGAGAAAAAAGTGAGATCTTACTGCGGATTAAAAAAAACAACCCTGCTACTTGACAGGAAGCTGCCTTCTACTGGATTAAACCACTGGTTCATATTGCCCAGTCTTAATGGACAATAGTTTGCTGGATCTCATCGTGGTCTACCATCTTATCCTGGGCAATAGAGATTAAAAAAAGCTGCATGCATGCTAAGATATGCCTCTTTTCCTATGACTAATACACACCACTATGAATATTGGATCTTAAGAAACAGATCGGTGTTCCCCATTGTTTTATTTTAAAATATATGTTGCCTCTTATGCTATTGGATTTGCTGGAGCCTTCTTCAGTCACTCTTTGGGCATGTTGTGTTTAGAAACTGATCAACTGCCTGATTGTAGATTAATACATCCATGTGGGAAAAGCTGGCTAAAGATCTGCTTTTCATTTCTTGCACATTTTTCATATTCAATTCTTTTTGGAAGTATTTTAATATACTTTCAAAATGCAAGTAAGCAGGATAGCATCCTATGTTTGAACATAGAGTTTGTTTCTACTTACATTTCTGATTTAAGTCTTTCAAATTCCGACTTATGTTTATAGCAATGTCTTTCATTTCCAGATACTTCAAACTAGTTAGTTTGTTCATGTTTTCCAGGAGTTTGTAATCTTCACTAGTTGCTAAAAAAAAATAGAAGAGGAGGAGCTGGGTTCACGCACTGCATTATGCCAGAGCTTGTTTTAACTATGATTTATTTTTTAATGTATTTGTTAAATTCATTTGCCATCTTATCTCATGAAGGGGCTACTCTAGGTGGCTTTATTTATTGAATAAGCAACAAATAGCTGGCTTCACAAAATGCTAAACCCAAATCAGGGTGGCTGATTTCACACATCAGACTGAATCAAAAACTAAACCAATCTTAATTGCAAGATTAATTTTAAGTGTGACTTGGGGAAGATGGATAGATTATTATTAGTTATATGCTTAGAGTTTTATTTGATTTTTTTTTAATGTTTAGAGTTAAAGGATGTTTATACTTGTTTGTTTTAAATTTGGGTACTTATATTTTGACTTGGGATGAGGTGTTTGTAACCCTGTAATCAATTCTGGGAAGTCCGGCGGGGATTGGGAGTGGGTGGGTGGGTAGAAATAAATATAAAATAATCAGGTGTACTGATGCTAAATTTTTGAGAAGCAGATGAGTTGTTATTGATATTAATGTATGCCTGTATTTGTATTTTTGGTTGTTTTTTTTGAAAATTAATAAAAAATTGTTTGGTAAAAAAAAAAAAACTAAACCAAGCAAATGAAACTTTCCTTCTATAAAAGGTAACCACAGTTTTAGTTTCAATGACGTTCGTAAGATGTCAATAACTCTCTCAGCCTGATTACGGAATATAAATCCTAAAATCATCAATGCTGTTTCCGGCTTTTACTTTCATCAGAAACACTCAGACGAAAATTTTTTCTTAAGAGAGGAAAGGAGGAAGATAAGTTTCCTGTCCAGACTGGGCCACAGTCAGAAGCATGTCAAAAATGAATGTGGGCTAAACTACTAGCAGACATCACTCTTTTTGGGGATGCAATGGGGAAAAAGTGGGTTGGCTCACCACATAATTGATCAGTCATGTTCTGATTCCATTTGAAATTTCCTTTTTTTAGAAAAAAGTTAATTCAGTACTTTTTGACACCTATTAAGGATTTCAGGAAAATTCGCAAAGAATCGTATTGTATATTAAATTTAAATGTAATATTAACTCACCAGTCAGTTCGCCTGTTAAGTAGATAGCCATTTTAGTAAACATTTCCGTACAAAGTTCATTAATATCAGCTTCTGCTGGCTCTGTGGCTTCTTCTGCAGTTTCCACAACAGGTTCCTCTATTCAGAAGTATAAAAGAATGTTTTATATTTTAGCAATGCAACAACCTTAATGTTTTTAGCATCAGGAAGTGCTGAGAATTAGAATCTTAACTGTATACGTAATGCCTTCATCTTAATACTACCAATACTTGAAAGACAGTTGCTATTTCATTTACCATATTTGCTCCCTAACAAAAATGTTCTTAAGCTTAAAATAATACATCAAAACACCACAAAACATTTTAATAGCAAAAATCAGAGCATGAGAGTAAGAATGCAGCAACAGATAAAATAAATTGTAGATCTAACATTAGAAAATGTGGCCTAAATTTCCCTGGGTACAGAAAAGAGTAAGACACCAAGGAAGGTCTTGAAGAAAGCATCCTGTTTTTATTTATAAGGTGTTTTTTTTTTTAATACAAATGAAGACTACCAGAACAAGCCAACAAAAACAGCTGCAAAACTGTATCAAGCAAAATCTTTCAGAACAAAATAGTTTTTTTTTCAGCTCCTAAGGTCCTATTAAAAACATGTCTCATAATTGCTTTATTATTATTTCAAGTAAATTCTGCAATACTAAAAAAACAAATACAAATCAAAACATTATGGAGAGAATAGGAGGATGAAGCAGGAAGTAGAATGTTTGCTGCCTTGAGTTATTTATAAAAATAATAAAGGCAGGATAAAAATCTAAGAAATAAAAGAATATGGTGAAGTTATTGCTCAGTGCAAGAGAGATGCTGATCCAGCTTATCATCTGGAATTCTCTTCTACTAATTCCCTCCAGTTTGGGGCATTTTGTGATGGGTAGTGTTTGGGCCATTATGGAATCTTCTGGATCTGTTATAGAGGGTAAGGCATGCTTGCATTCAATATCTCCATTGGGGAGAATTTGTTATCCTTTCAGCTATCCTGATTCAGCAAATTAACTTCTCCCTTATTTATTTACTCAAATTACTGGTACTATCATAATGGAGCCTGCCAATTACAAGACTCGTAAAGCGAGTTTCACATGGCTGATCCAATTTATGACCGTTTTTTCAGCAATCATAAAGTGAAGCTTGAACCAATTGTTCACTATGGGGTGTTTTTGCAGAAAACTGGAAGTAAATGCTGCTGGCCACATGAACATGGGATGCTGCAAATAGCCATAAATGTATGTGACTATAATAGGAGTCATAAATACCTTTTTTGGGGGGGGATGTCTGTTGTAACACTGAATGGTTGCTATATTAAAATCAAGGGCCACCTACACTAAAACTCTTCTGTTGATGTGTGTTACCTTTAACTGGTGAAACAGTGCAATGTAGGGCAGTGGTTCTCAACCTTTTTAATGCCGCGACCCCAACCGGTTGTAAGTCGAGGACTAAACCAGTCGTAAGTCGAGGACTACCCAATCGGTCGTAAGTCGAAGACTTTCCCTGCCCAGGAGCGCCGCGCATGCGTGGTTCTGCCCCCTGCGCTGGCCGAGGCATAGCTGGCAAGCGGCAGAGACGGAGCAGGCCGACCAACAGCTGGCCCAGCCCAAGGGAGGTAAGGCACCCGACGGAAAAGGGAAAAAAATGGCGGACAAAAAAATGGCGGACAGCCTTGCTTGGCAACCCCCGTGAAATGGTCGATCGACCCCAAATGGGGTCCCGACCCACAGGTTGAGAACCACTGATGTAGGGCAACAGTTTTTAAACCAAGGTACCTCATGGGTAAATCCTGAAGTTGAAACTCAAGTACTTTGGCCACCTAATGAGAAGGAAGGGCTCACTGGAGAAGAGCCTAATGCTGGGAAAGATGGAGGGCAATAGAAGAAGGGGACGACAGAGAATGAGGTGGCTGGATGGAGTGACTGAAGCAGTAGGCGTGAGCTTAAATGGACTCCAGAAGATGGTAGAGGACAGGAAGGCCTGGAGGAACGTTGTCCATGGAGTCACGATGGGTCGGACACGACTTCGCAACTAACAACAACCACCTCATGGGTAGCTTACAGAATGCATCCAAAGTCCAATTCCTGTGGAACTGAAATTTGGCAAATTTCATAAAGAAACAATTTCAAAGAAAAAAGAAGAAAGTCCAATTGCCTCCTGAAAAAGTACCTTTAGGATAGCCATGATCTGGATGATTGAGTTTAAAGTTCCATCTTCTATTTCACTGAAGATCATCTCAGAGGAGACTTCCCATGCCTATTGTCATTTGGCTAACTACAAGAAAGGTTCCACTGGCTGGCTGAGTGAAGTGCTTATATTGTAAAGTACTTAAAATCTATCAGTAGTCCTTTGGTATTGTCAGTGGTGTTCAGTGACTTTATACTAGTGCTGCATAAAAAGATTTCCAACTCGATAGAAGAAGACAAAGTTCTTTTAACACAGATGGATGCTCTGAAACTCCTGCTGCCCAACAATCTTGGAAGGTGAAACCTGCCAACCAGCAAAAGGATCTGGATAACAAAAATTCAGGGACAGCCAGCACAAGATGGGCCAATGATGACTCATGCATCAGATGTTGGCTCATATCATTCCTTATGTCAACCTCCAAGGGCTTTTTGCCATCAAAGACCATACTACACACACACACAGAGGTGGATCACTAATTGTCTAACAATATTGGAGAATGGTCTCTAAAATGAAAAGAATCCTAGCTCACGAGCAACTTGCTTTACTAAATTGCTATAAGTTTTAGATGAAGTACGCCTTACCCATCCCTGAGCCATCTGAAAAGTACACCAGCAAAACATTTGTTATATCCACTGTCAACCCTACTTTTGCATCTATAGCCTTGTCTCAAGCTTGCCTATCAAGTGACCTGATTTAGATGTGCAGGGCACGATAAGCAAAGCTACGGGGTTCCCCTGATCCTAATCCACATTCAACCACTAGGTACACTAGCTGTTCTTCCTCTCCTAGAACCAGAGCTAATCTGGAGGAATGGAATGGAAAGAGTAGAGTAGAGTAGAGTAGAGTAGGGTAGGGTAGGGTAGGGTAGGGTAGGGTAGGGTAGGGTAGGGTAGAGTAGAGTAGAGTAGAGTAGAGCAGAGTAGAGCAGAGTAGAGTAGCATTGCATAGAATAGAATAGAATAGAATAGAATAGAATAGAATAGAACACTTGATTTGGCGAAGTGTGATTACATACACAAAGAATTTGTCTCTGGTGCAGAAGCTCTCAATGTACAGCAAAGCAACAGAATAATAATCATAATACCAATAAGAGTGGGTAGTAGAGAAGATGAAAAGGTTAATAATACTAAGCCACACAACATGGGTAGATATACTTAGAGATAAAATAATACTGTGAGGATTAGGTGTTCAGCAGAGTGATGGCAGGAGGGGAAAAACTGTCCCTATATCTAGTTGTTTTGGCATGCAATGCCCTATAGCAGCTTCCTAAGGGGAGGAGTTGAAACAGTTTATGTCCAGGATGTGAGGAGGCTCTGTAGATATTTCCTCAGCCCTCCTCCTGACCTACACAATATACTTTATGGAAGGCAGGCTGTTTGCAATTGTTTTTTCTGCAGTTCTAACTACCCGTTGGAGTCTGTACCAATGGACAGAGGCTGCCAGCTCCAACAACAGCCTAATTTGAGAGAGCCAAGCTTTCTAGCTCCTCAGCTGAGTGTCCGGTGGACATAGTGGAGGATACCCAGGAGGGGTTTCCCCAACCAGCCTAAAGTGGCCACTAGATTGAAGCAGTTCCCACCCTGTGAACTGGCCACAACACAGGCAGCAAGCGCTTTAGAATCTGCACCATTTGCATCAGGGTGTTGTTAGCTGGGGAGGGGGGGGGACACAGCCAAGGAAGCCAAAGGAATGGACTGGAGAGCAAAAAAAAAAAAAATCAACGTTAAGGGATGCGAAGATGAGACAGGCTGCCGGCCGGGCACAGGTTAGAAGCAGGGGTAGTCAACCTTGGCTTTTATGACTCGTGGACTTCAACTCCCAGAATTCCTCAGCCAGCAAAGCTTAAAGTTGCCAAGGTTGAGGACCCCTGGTTTAGGTGATCCTTTGCAACTTACACAATCCACGATTCTCCATCATTTTAGCTCAGCAAAGGCTGCTTGTCAACCACATTATGAGCTGAATTGATCACTATGTCTGTTTTCCAGGGGAAGGCCACCTTGGCTCTTTTATGACTCGTGGACTTCAACTCCCAGAATTCCTGAGCCAGCCATGCTGAGGGGAAAGGGAGAGGTTTCCAAGCTGAGCCATGCTGGCTCAGGAATTCTGGGAGTTGAAGTCCACGAGTCATAAAAGAGCCAAGGTTGCCTACCTCTGGGCCTAAGCCTAGGTCGCTCTATGGCTCGTGGACTTCAACTCCCAGAATTCCTGAGCCAGCCTGGCTCAGCTTGGAAACCTCTCCCTTTCCCCCTCAACATGGCTGGCTCAGGAATTCTGGGAGTTGAAGTCCACGAGTCATAAAAGAGCCAAGGTTGCCTACCCCTGGGTTAGAGGAACGTGGGGAAAGACTCAAAGAGAAATTGGCGTTTGGTCTTGCTGGGGCCTAGCCGGCGTTCCCTGCGGGGGGAAAAGACGCTCCCAATTCCTGGCTTCGGTGGGAAGAGGGGGGCCGAGGCTCTGGCTCCTCCGCAGGGGCGGGCTGCGGAAGAGCTCTCCGGCCGCTGGGCCAAGGAGGCAGCCCGGCGAGGCGCTTACGTTTGGAGGCTGGCTGGCGGACCTCCAGCCCGTCTTCCAGGGATGCGGCGGCGGCCGCCGCCATGGCGGCCTTCCCGGAAATGGAGAGCGCGGAGGGCGACGGTGGCGGCTCCCGAGCGCGCTTGGCGTCCCCCGGGCTACTCGCTCTCGTCTTCTCGGAGGCTGCGCTCTCGGCCCGGAGCGGCCCGCTGACTTGCGCCGCCCAAGCGGAGGAGCAGCTCCCTCGGACGCCTCTTCCGGGGCGCGCCCGACAGGGACTTGCGCTCGCCCGGCGACTCCCGAGTAAATCCCTCGCCGCGAATGGGCAGGCGGGTCAGATGCGCGCTGCCAAAGCCCGGGCGCATCGGTACCTTTGGGGACAGGGAAAGCAAGGCCAAGGCGGAGTCCGGCCCCGAAGCCGCTTCTTCCCTTCTCCCCAGAGAAGGTGCCCTGTCGACATCTTAAGGGGAAGGATTTCCTGGGAGAAAGGTCGCGGTCGCAGCTGCAGTTAATTGGAGATCTGGCCATAATGGTCCAGAACCATACAGTATTGCTCTAAATACAGGGGTAGTCAACCTTGGCTCTTTTATGACTCGTGGACTTCAACTCCCAGAATTCCTGAGCCAGCTTAGCTGGCTCAGGAATTCTGGGAGTTGAAGTCCACGAGTCATAAAAGAGCCAAGGTTGACTACCCCTGCGTCTAATACCTGTTATTTATTTGGGAGCATATTTTGTACGTAGTCTAATCCCGTGTGTGAATAATGAAGCCCACGCTCAAATGGTTGGAAATAACAAAGTGTTTTTCTATTTGAGTTAAAGTATGTTTATACTTGATTGCTTTATATTTGGGTAGTAATATTTAGACTTGGGATGATGTGTGTTTAAACCCTGTAANAACAATTATTAGAATAATGATTTGTCTGCATAACTGCAATAATGATGTGTCTGCATAATTGCTAGAATAATGATGTAATGCATAATCACTGGGAAAATTCACTGGGAAAGTTCTGTGTCAGTAATATGTGGCAACCAAATGCGCTTTGCACATGGATACTTTGTATGTAGCAAAACCTTCCATTGTATGCCTGTGAGAAGCGTTCCTAATGTATCACAGTGTGTATTTCAATGTGTAGCCCTTTGTTCTTTAAGGAGGGTAGTATAAAAACTGAAGTCTAATCCCGCCCTCCTCGTTCAGAATTGCCTATCTCTAATATGCCTCTGAACCTTGCGCAATAAACTCCTCTGCTAAACCCCTCTGGAATTCGTAAGAGTTCTTTCGTTTTCCACAAGAAATGTAGAAATGAGTATTAAATTAGGAGTATTGATGTATGGAGAATTATAGAAGGCGCTCGGTTAACACCCCTAAACCGTGTCCGAAGGGAGGGAGAGGAAGAGGAGAGGAGAGATAGGAGGGAAGTAGGTAGGTAGTGGAAAAGAGGGCGGATGCGGGGAGGGGGTGCTGCCGAGCTGATGCTCGGTTAGCGCCCCCAAACCGTGCCCGTAGGAAGAGGAGAGGGAAGGAGGTGGGATGTGTAGGGAGGTTGAAGGAGGAGAAAAGAGGGCGGACGCGGGGAGGGGGTGTTGCCGGCTGTTTTGCAATATTAACGTTTATGTTTGTAAAACTTATAATACTAAAGTTGTATTAATGTATGTTTATATTTGTAAGTGGGGGGGATATTTCAAAATTAATAAAAAACTTTAAAAAAAACACGTGTTTTATCAGAGCTTTTGCAGAAGCTGGTGGATCTCCAAGCATACAAGCAAGAGAGAGAGAGAGAGAGAGAGACCACAGCAGTTACAGATCTCAGCATAATAATAATTTTTATTTTACGGTCACAGATCTCAGCATATTTTATACATTCCTATCACCGGCCGCTTGTCCATCCTTCCCAGTCCCAGTTGATGGGCCCAGGTCAGTCAGATGCTAACAGTCCGCCTATAATTTGCCATCATACCTAAATGCGTAAAATTAGTTAAAGCCCTTCTTGTCATCCAAACTTGCTAAGCACTCAGCCCCTTCATTTCTCGCCTCTTTGGTATTCCCTTATTCCTTCTTTTGTTTATCTGTACAATGCAGTACCAGGTATATATCTCAAGGCAGAAGCTGTGTATGTCATTGCTTAGCAGAGTTCATCCATCCGGTAAACACGGCTGTGGTTTGGATATATAGTAGTGTGGCTATACTTTAACATACTAACTCTAGGTCAGTGGTTCTCAACCTTTTTAATGCCGCGACCCCAACCGGTCGTAAGTTGAGGACTAAACCGGTCGTAAGTCGAGGACTAAACCGGTCGTAAGTCGAAGACCAAACCGGTCGTAAGTCGAGGACTACCCAACCGGTCGTAAGTCGAGGACTTTCCCTGCCCGGGAGCGCCGCGCATGCGTGGTTCCGCCCCCTGCGCCGGCCGAGGCGTAGCTGGCAAGCGGCAGAGACGGAGCAGGCCGACCACCAGCTGGCCCATCCCAAGGGAGGTAAGGCACCTGCCGGAAAAGGGGGAAAAAATGGCGGACAAAAAAAAATGGCGGACAAAAAAAATGGCGGACAGCCTTGCTTGGCGACCCCCGTGAAATGGTCGATCGACCCCAAATGGGGTCCCGACCCACAGGTTGAGAACCACTGCTCTAGGTAGTTTGAATAAAAAATAAACCTTATCATTCATAAGCTATGTGTTAGTCTACGTTATGAAAAATTTGCTTATTATATTGTATCTCACAAGTGTTTCTCAAGTTTGGCCACTTTTAAGATGTGTGCTCCAACTCCCAGAATTCTTGAGCCAACGTGCTGCCTGGAGAATTCTGGGAGTTGAGAAACATGGTTCTAGTTGTGCATGCACCCCCCACATACGCTAGCGACCCCATTTGTGTGGGAATGCACATTTTCCTGCTACTCCCATTCCCTCCAGGCCACTAACCCAGAAAGGTTGGAGAGCTCTGGTTTAAAATGGGTGTCAAATTTCATTTCATTGAGGGCCGCATCAGCATTGTGGTTGCCTGGGTGGGGGGAGGGGTCTGGGTGTGGCTTACTGGGTGGGCATGGCCACCTCAATGTCACTTGCGTGGGGGTGCCTGTGGGGGCCAGGCAGGGTTGCGGGGGATCCAAGGGTCTCTGACGGGTGGGGCAGTGGGAGGAAGACTCGTCCCACAAGGCGAGGCAATGGGCAGGGTGGGGGTGCTACCACCGTGGGGAGAGGTGAGGCAGAGGACAGGGCAGCTACTGCCGGACAGCATCGGGCCCCCGTCCCCATCGGCGCCATGGCTGCCCAGATCCAGCCAGGATTGTCTCTGCTGGGGCTGGGTGGCCGTGGCACTCCTTTGTGCTGGACGTGTCTGCAGCTCCAGGCAGCGGCGGCCTAATGGACCTGTGCAAGCTGCTGGGGGCCGTGGCGGACATGGTGCGAGTGCGCGAGGGGAACAAGCTCCACATGCTTGGCAAGGGCAAGACCCGTGAGGGGGCTGAGGAGATGACCAGCAGCTACCTGCTCTCCAACCACAAGCAAAAACAGATGGGACGGAATAGGCACGTCTGGCGATCCGCATTATTTGCCTCTCCCCCGACTCTGCCTTCTGCCAGTGCTGCTGCAGTGCTTGCTGCTGGAGGACCAGCCTGGTGGTTGCAGCAGGCTGTGGAGCCCCTGCTGCTGGACACCATCAGCTCCTGTGTGCTTACCACCTCCTATGTGTGTGCCTGGGGGGCTGCCTGGGGCTTGATCTGGGGTGGGGCTGGGCCGGCAGGAGCCGGTCCCTCATCATCTCTGGGGTGGCCCCGTGGGCCAAATATGGGCCTTGTGTTTCACATGTCTGGTTTAGAACTTTAGACAAGAAATGTAAAAGCAAACACATTAGTAATACATTCTGGAGAGGCAGAAACCAAAGCTAAGCATGGCATACCCAATCATGTGGGTTTAATAGAGCATGATAATTGGATATATGACTGTAGGCCAGGGGTCCTCAACCCCCAGTCCGTGGACTGGTACCAGGCCGCAGCATGCCAGTATAGGGATTGTACAAAAGGGTATTCTTGTTGTTAGCCTAATTACTGCCATTTTGCTTCTGTAAACTGCTTCCGTCAGGGACACCATTTTGTGAAGGCAGGAAGAACACGTACACAGATCCAGAGATAAGGAAAAGAACAGGAAAGGAATGAAATGTGATTGGCTGATATTATGTGTACTTACATGTGTGTCCTTGTGATTGGTCATTGCCTGCCTATATAAAGAAGTGCCTGACCAGTGTGTGGCACTTCTGAACACAGCTGCCAGTATTTCAGATAGTGTTCCACCCAGCAACTTCACTTGGCCAAATAAAGTTCTGTTTCTCTTGGAAGCCTCCGCTTGAGTCTCCTCATTTGCCCTCTTGGAACCTCAAGTTCTTCAGGTAGCTGCTGACCCTTACATGTTTACTGGTGCCTGAACAGGGACTTGGAGGCCTGTGTTTTCCTTCGAGCTGATCTTCGTCACAGCGTCCAGAAAAACCGGTGCAGACTGGGAACAAGGTCAAGAGTGCTCCTGGCCCTATTAGTCCAGTGACCTCAGCCCAGCTAGCACCTGGCAGACCTGTGATTGCTTGAACCTGAACGTTAATAGGATGCTTCCCAACACTGAAGTCTGCTGTAAGGTGGAGTGGCAGCAATATGGCTAAACCCTTTAACCCTTTTATAAATGGAACTGACCTTAAAGAAATATGGAATCAACCTGGAAACATTTCTCTAGAGTGGAAAGCACCAGATGGAATGTATTGGATTTGTGGCAGATATGCCTATGTAAAACTTCCCAAGAAATGGAATGGAGTATGTGTCTTGGGCATAGTTAAACCTAGCTTCTCCCTTCTTCCAATAAACCAAGGAGAAAGGTTAGGAATACCAGTTTATGATGAGATTGGACACAGGGAAAAACAATCAATACAATGGCATGATGAAGAATGGCCTCCAGAAAGAATTATACAAGTGTATGGACCTGCCACTTGGGCAGAAGATGGAATGTATGGATATAGAACTCCCATTTATATGCTTAATAGAGTTATTAGATTACAAACTGTACTAGAAATAATTACCAATGAGACAACTCTGGCTTTATATTTGCTCACTAAAACGAACACCCAGTTACATACAGCAATATACCAAAACTGTCTGGCCTTGGATTATTTACTAGCAAAGAAAGGAGGGGTTTGTGGAAAATTCAATCTGACAAACCAGATTGATGACTAGGGGAAAGCAATCG